TGCCCCGGCGGGGGGGGCCCCCGCCAGTCTGCGGCAGCCCCCGCAGCGATTGGCTTTTGATTTAGCCAAGTCTGTGGTTTGTGGCTTTGGACAAGGTACACGCCCCGCCCTCCGCACCCCCCCCCACCCCAGCCTCAGTTTCTCCCTTACAAAGTGAGGGTCAGGCTCATGTGCATGCATAGTAGGTGTCCGTGTTACATCACCAGTGTTCATGATATGCTTTTGTTTCACCCCAACTTTTGTCCTGCCTTCCTCGGTGTTTCATGCCCCCACAATTAAACACTGCAGTAAGCCAAACGCGGGGTGCCTTAAGAGACAGCCTTAACCTGAGCACTGAAGAGTGAGTAGTGTTGGCCGAGCAAAGTGATTCATGCCTGTAAGCCCAGTGTTTGGCAAATTGAGACAGGAAGACTTCAAGTTTGAGATCAGCCTGAGCTAAATAGGGGGCCCCCATCTCAAAAGGAGAAGGAAGGAAGGAAGGAAGGAAGGAAGGAAGGAAGGAAGGATAATGGTGGCAAGAGAGAACTGGTTCCAGATATGCTTGTGTTCTGACCATACATACACAAATGAATAAATATAGTAAGATGGGAATGTTGGTGCTGTAGGAAGATCAGGAGTTCTATTACATAACAAATTTAAGGCCAACTAAGGTTATCCTGGTCTACAGATGGAGTTCCAGGACAGCCAAAGCAGTTGCACAGAAACCCTGTGGGGGAGTTGGGGGGGGACCTAGGAGAAGAAACATGATTACCATATGATCTAGCACTTCCATCTCTGGGCATTGGAATAGGACGTACCAAAGAACTGAAATTAGAATTTCAAAGATACATTCACATATCCTGTTGACAGCAGTGTGAATGGTCATTAGAGGCTAGATGAAACCCAAGTATCTGGTGATGGATAAATGGATAAACAAACCACACCATGCCTGAAGTACAGTGTTGTTCACCTGTCAAAGGGAATGAAAGCCCATCCATGCTGCAGCATGGATGTTCTGTAAAGTGTGGATAATGAGCTATGATAGCCATACTTCCAGCAATGATAGTTCACTCACTGAGTGAGCATTTAGCAAGCAAAGAAAGCAAACAGCACACAGCAGACAGAAGCAGGAAGTAGACAGTGAAGCCTCATCCTGTCAGAGCTCACAACATCCATCAGAGAAGACCAAAGAGGTCTGACTGAGAGTGAGCAAAGGACATCAGTGAATTGGTGCTCACAACATCCTACAGAGTTCTCTAGGGAGGCAGCAGTCCTGCTGGAGTTCTGGACTGAGGGTCCTGGACACAGCAGAGAAGTCTCTCCATGGGTGAGTGTCTGTTGCCAATGGTTACCTTCCAGCTGTTCTCAAGAGCGTGATTTTACTGTCAAGATGTGTTGCTGTTCTCAGCCTGTACCTAGACAAGGGCCCTTGGAGGACACTATAAGATAGGCGTGGTTGGGCCTGAGATAGGGGGACAAAGAGGGAGGGCAGCTTCACAGTAAGTACAGACAGCCCTTGTTCACTGGTAAGACTATACATCACAATGGATGAGTGCTTTATGATTCTGCTCAAGTGGGATCCCTAGAAACTTTAAAAAGATGGGAGGTATGGTTGTCTGTGTGTGGGTGGAGGGTGGTGGATTTAATGGCTATAGAATGCTCGAGTTGCAAGTTGATCAAATTGGAGAACAGTGAAAATGCACTAAACATTACTGAACTGCACACTTAAAAGTGGCTAGCAGTAAATTGTGTGTGTGTGTGTGTGTGTGTGTGTGTGTTTTATCACAATTAAAAATCAGTAAATAAATGAGAAAAAGAAATTTCTAATTTTGTACCATTTGGATGTGGAACCGTTAAAACCTGTGACACACTGAGAAACAAGAAAATGGAGCACAGCCTATCATCTCAGAACCTCAGAGTTTGTAAGCCCAAGCACACACAGGTTATGTGAGATCCTTTCTTGAGGGGGCAGGGATCAGGTTACTTATCAATACTTGAAGTAGACAGTGATGTGATTTATGACTGTCTCTGTTTTCAGGCAACATGGAAAAAGCTAAAGATGGCGAAGAGAGCCCAAGTGAGGCATCTCCTCCAGCCCAGGTGGGGCTTGAAAATATCCCTGCGACGGTGTCTGGGGAGGAGGGCCAGCTGCTGTATCACGAGGAGACTATCGATCTTGGTGGAGACGAGTTTGGGTCTGAAGAGAATGAGGAACCCTCATCCGAAGACTCTCGAAACTTTGTAGATAAGCTCAACGAGCACATGATGGAGAGTGTGCTCATCTCTGACTCTCCCAACAACAGTGAGGGTGATGTGGGGGACCTTGGCTGCCTGCAGGATGTTGTGGAGCCACCAGGAGGTGTTGCTGATGGCAGGATGCCCAGTGCCACGAACAAGGAAGCAGGGGACACCTTGAGTAATGGCAGCGAAACCGATGGAGACGACACGCCCAGAGACGTTTCAGACATGACACCTGATAGCAGAGCATCTCTCAAAGAAGACTCAACGCAGGAAGATGTGACTGGCATGCCTGCACTGGAGAACTCTGGCACAGAGGACGCAGGGCCTGGTAATGGCCAAGCTCACCCAGAAGAACGGACCTCAGAAGTGTCGTCCAGTCAGTCCTCCTCAAAAGATGAGCCTGTACCTGTCTGCACCATCTTCAGCCAGGCCACCTCTGCTCCCTCCCAGCCACACTTGTTTCTGCAGGACGGCTTTGAGTCGCAGATGGTAAAGTCTCCGAGTTTCAGTAGCACCAGTGAGACGTCAGCCAAGACCCCTCCTCCGATGGTCCAGCCCAGTCCCAGCCTAAGTACATTTTTTGGAGACACAATGAGCTCCAATTCCTTGGCCTCTGACTTTTTTGATTCCTTCACAACCTCTACCTTCATCTCAGTCAGTAATCCCAATGCAGGTTCCCCAGTTCCAGAAAAGCTCTCTTCACTCACTGCCCCTGTGGGAGAAAAGTCGCCAGATACCACCAGCCCATCTTACTCTACAAGGATGGAACGATCAGAATCAGGTGTTTCCCCAGCACCTCTGGACGTCCCTGAGTCTCCAAAGCCATTCTCACAGATCCAGGCTGTGTTTGCCGGGAGTGACGACCCCTTCGCCACAGCCCTGAGCATGAGCGAGATGGACCGGAGGAATGATGCATGGCTTCCCAGCCAAGAGACCAGAGAGGTCCTGATGAAGGTAGCGACCCAGCAATATGGCACTGTGTTCATAGACAAGGAGAACCTCACCATGCCTGGCCTCAAGTTTGACAACATCCAGGTAGGATATGGAATGTTTCTATGTCCACATCTCACTCCGTGTCATCTCTTTCCAGAAATGTGTGTAGCAGGTATTTGGCAGTAGCTATAACTCTAGCCTCCTAGGCAGAATGTCAATAAATTTTGGAAGAAAGTAAATAAAGGAAGAGTGTATTCTAGGGCCGGAGAGATGGCTCACTGGTAGTGTTTGCAATTCCAGAGGACTAGCATTCAGTTCCCAGCTTTCATATCAGGCAGCTCATGGCTGCCTATAACTCTGGTTTCTGCAGGCCTGGCACTCATGTTCACATACCCCCACCCCCACCCCCAGACAGACAGACAGACACACACACACACACACACACACACACACACACACTCACATAGGTAAAAGTAAATCTTTACAAAAGAGTGCATTTTGAAGGTTTTACCTGATAGTGGGAGATTAGGTCAGACCCAGAGTGGGCTAGTGGATGACTGAAGGAGATGAAGACCTCAAAATGTCCATGGCTCTGGGTCTGTAACTTTCCAGGCTTCTGCCTCCCCAGGCAGCTCATATGAACCTTTTCCTCCACCTGGTTTTATGTGACTTCCCTTTTAAAGGAAGTAAAATGCTTGAAGTAATGCCTCATGTCCTCCACCCTGTCTCCAGGTGGGCATAACCAGAAGAATCAAGTTGGGAGATAAAAATTGCCCCAGTGCAGAAATAGACTTAAAGTATGTCTGTCCTCCAACTCCAGCAAGCCCAGAGCCCTAGGCTTGGGACAAGGCTGGGACAGAGCCCTGTTTACCTTGACTATGAACTTATCATTAAGAAGGGACCACCAGGGGCCGGAGAGATGGCTCAGCAGTTAAGAGCACTGACTGTTCTTTCAGAGGACCCAGGTTCAATTCCCAGCACCTACATGGCAGTTTACAACTGTCAAGTTCCAGCGGATCTAACACCTTCATACCAATGTACATAAGATACATTTAAATAATTTATTAAAAAAAGGAGAAGAAGGAGCCACCAGCATTGATGTCAATGCAGGTAACTCCACACATACACACCCACACACCCCCAAGACATCCCAGTAAGCTTGAGGAACTGGTGGGATGCGGGCACAGCCCTGTTCAGTCTTCCACATAGTGCTGCTCTAAGTGACCACAGGTCCCTGTCTTCAGTGTGTCACCTCATGGGGGCCCTCTCCTGAACCCATCCATCAATAAAAGCCCCTGTCCTGGCCAAGTTGTGGTCTCTGCTAAAAACCCAATCTAATGGTGATTTGCTACCTCTTGAAATAAAGGATAGCTGTAAGATGAGGAATCTTCTAGAAGTCATAGCTTTGCTTCTGGCTGGTTGCAGCTTTCCATGAGCGTTTCACCGTCTCCACATCTTTCCCTCACTGTTTTAGGGAGATGCAGTTAAGGACTTGATGCTTCGCTTCCTGGGTGAGAAGGCTGCAGCAAGAAGAGAAGTCTTAACCGCCAGCTCGGTTGAACAGTCTTTCGTGGGGCTGAAGCAACTCATTGTAAGTAACACACTGACTTCAGCACGTCCTTCCTGATAAGGCCTGGCTTCCCTCACAGTCTCTTCCTCCCCCACAAGTGAATTGCCCTGAATACAGCACCAGAAGCTGTTGCACAGAAAGTGTTGCCTGGTGCGTGTCAGTCCTGGACAGCAAAGAACACTCCCTTAACATGCTGCTCGTTTGGAGTTCACTTGGTTCCTTTAAGTTATCAAAGGGCTGCAGACAACAGAGATGCCCATTAGCTAGAACAAATGCAGATAGTTTGTTTTGTTTCGCTTGTCTGTTCTTTTCTGTTTTCTGAGACACACTGTCGCCCAGACTGGCCCTAATTTCACAGGCTTGAATGAACCTCCACACACTCTATGACAACAGGCCCATGTCACCTTGTCTTTATGGTCTTTATCAAATGTGCTCCATTGGTCCAGGTTTACTGTTTAACGGGCGAATTCCTAAACACTGTCAAACATCACCATGTTCTATGAACAGGTCTCTCTAATCTGCTAGTCCTACACTGTACGCCCTACACAGGCTGAGTTCTCTGCAGTGAATTCCTGGCTTGAGGGATAGCTTCACAGTGTTATTTGTTATTCTTCACTATGAGGGGAAGGTCCTGGAAGTTGATCACACATATCTCCTATAGGAATCCTCAGGCAACCTTCTGGTAATGAAGTACTCAAATGGTAGCCTCATCTCAGACTAAGACAGCACCCCCTTCCCCTGCCTCATTCATGAACTCTGGTGTTGCTACTACACGGTGTCCATGTCCAAGTGGTCAGTGGGCATGCCGTATGGAAGGGATCTGGAAAATGATGTTTGACTTGAGAAATGAGAGGTCAAGCCCATGCTCTGCCTGATCTTTCACTCTCCTAACTATGATGAACAGTCTAAAGGATTCATTCACTTTTAAACTTTGAGTGAGAGGCGGTTTCCTGCTTTATTCCACTAATTTTTCAGGCAAAATATTTTAGTTACTCTTCTATTGCTGTGACCAGGTGAGACACTCAGCCTTGTGTAACTGAGCAATTACTGGCTTCTTGGACTTTCTGTTAACAGGTACAATAGATGCCCAAGAAGTAAAAACTATCTAGACTATCCTGCCTGAAGTAATCCTTATTCTTATTGTTCTCCCATCCCTACGAATACTCTAGATAATAGAGGAAATTAATAATCCAGCACTAACAGTTAAAACAATAGGACACCAATGATACTGAAGCTATGAATATACAGATTATGAAGACATGTGTTTTGACTCTTACATCATTCCAACAAATGACCTAAAACCAGGAGAACTTCGACTTCTAGAAGTCGGCTAGCCACTGTTGGATTAGTTGGATTGCAGCCTGTAAGTCAGTCCAATAAATTCCCTTTATACATATATTCATTCCATAAGTTCTGTGACTCCAGAGAACCCTGACTGATACAATAATAATTAAAAAAAAGAAAAAAATCCTTCATGTGACTTGGGCATCTGAATTCAAGAGAACCTGTCCATGAAGGAAAAAAGGCACACTGCTGTGTTAGCAGCTGCTATTAAAGATAAGACATCCACCACTCCCTGGCTGTGACTCAGGACACCTCTCAAACATCTGTAGCCTCTAACAAGTGAGGGCACAGGGATTCCCCTTGCTCTGGGACAGAGCATTTCCACCATGTCCAGTCTTTGTGTAGACTCAAAGATGCAAAAGTCTCACTTCTGTCCCTTTCTGGGGCTAGAGAGGGAAAGTGTATGAGCTTTTCTTTTTTAAAAAAATTTGGAAAACTGTGGTAGGTGTTGTGATACCAGCACTGGGGAGGGAGATGCAAGAGGACCATAGTTCAAGGTCATCCTGAGCTACACAGTGGGGTCAATGCTAGCCCAGGTCACATGAGACACTGTCTCATAAAGTGTAGTTTTGAGATTTGGGCGTAGTTTTGTTTTTTCAAACTGACTACTTCCTAATCCCCAAAACAAGGGAGGGGCCTCCACCACAAAGGACAGAGTCACCCCAGCCTCCATGCCTTTCCCACTGCCATAGACTGTAATTTGAAAGTATGAGCTCAAGTAAACCTTTTCCCCAAAAAAGGGGGTAAGGGTGGGGGCGGACATCCAAATGCCCTAGGTGTCCCCATGGTGCCCAGGTCTTCCTCTTCTGCAGAGCACCTGAAGACCATGCTTTCTGATGGATGTTGATTGTTGATTACTTCCTGTCACTTGACATAGTATTAACATAGTATTTCTGAGCCACAAACTATGAACTGGGGTTGATGCTTTACAGAATATTTTC